TCTCAAATAAATAAATAAAATCTTAAAAAAAAAAAATGGGATGCTGGCCCTGCCCCCTCTGCAGACATGGGAAGATCTAGTCAGATAATGGGTGTGAACACCATTTCTGGGCTGTGCAAGGCTAAACAGTTGTGAGGCGTTACTGTAGCTGCTCGTTACGTGTGTGTGTGCGTGTGTGTGTGTGTACGTGCACACACACACACGCACACACAAGAAAATAGCAGTGATAATGCACAAATAATGCTGAATACGTCTAGAGCTGGCCATAGCTGATCACGCTATCTTTTCGGAACCTTACCACCGCGCCCCCACCCTCTGATGTGGGCAGAGCAGGGCCCACTGCTTCCATTTCACAAGGAAGGAAGATGGGGTGCAGGGAAGTTGTGTCAGAGTTAAGTAGGTACTGCCCAGGATCTCTGAAATTCCAGACTCCTCCATCAGTGCTCTCTCTCTCTGTTTCTCTCTTTTGGCCAAGTCACCCTACTTTTGCACCACGTAGGAGCTTTATCCATGCCCACTGCCTTCCCCGTACCCAGGATTGGGGGGAGGGGGTGGGTGCTCCTCCTACTCGCCCGCTGCCCTCCCATGGTCCCAGGGCCATGCCTCCGAGAGGCTCTGCCAGACGGTCCACTGCTCCCTTTGGGTTGTGATGCTCATCTTGGCTACAGAGCAGGAAAGGGGTCTCCCAAGCTGCTCCCCAACTTACCATAATCATCGAGCAGGATATTTTCGGGTTTCAAATCTCTGAAAGGGAAAGATGGCAAGCATGTGAGTGTGGGCATTCTGAGCATCAGGGCATGGCATCTGGGTTGACCTCTCTTCATGTCTCCTTCCCACCTCTTGGCTCATGTTGCCTGGTCTCTCTCTGGATCCAGACAATCTTGGACTAATTTCCCTCCTCCTGGTATTTAGAACAAATGCCGCTGTTGCCAGGATCTTCCGGACCCTGGAGATGACAGGGAAGGGGTCAGGCAAAGGTCAGCCCTGGCTCCCATCCGCACACTGCTGGTACCAGGGCGGAGCATGCTTCTGGCTGGTGTGGTGAGAGACCCCTCCAGGGCTGGGAACAGCTGGAGGTCTCAGGATGCCCTGGGATGCCCTGAAGGCAGAACGGGGCCTGGAAATTAGCGAAAAGTTATTGAGGACACCGCACCAGCTGCAGATCTGGGACAGAGAATGGTCGAGGAGGGAGGGACCCCCTTTGGGCAGGGGACCCCTGGAGCCTGGCACATCTCCCAGTCCAGGAGTGACAAGCAAGGGCACGCCCCTGTCCTTCTGTCCCTCCTGTCTCTTCTCTTTGATTACATCATCACTGTTCATAAGAACGTGCCCCCCTTCCCCGCTGCGGGAGGGAGGCGGCAGAAGTCTCTGGTTTTACAAGTAGCAGGTCCTCTCTGGGTAAAAGAACAGCCAATAGGATAGCGTGCGCAACTCAGTTAAGCCATCAGCATCTGGATTGAGGATGTGATTCTCAACCAACTGGCTTTGCTTATTTAACTGATGGCAGCTGACCAAGTAAGGGCAAGATCCATCACCTCAGCAAGCCAGCAGCCACAGGGTTGGAAAGATGGCTGGCTGGCAGGCATGGGCCAGAACCCAAACCCACAGAGAGGCCATGGCAAGTGGTGGAGGCCAGGGAGGTGCCATGGTTCTCTTCTTCATGAGAATAAGGGCTTAGAACTTGGAGGCCCCTCTTTCTTTTTGTTTTGAGTGAAAAGCAATCAAGTGAAGAGTTCTTTTTTTCAACCCTTAGGGAATTTTTTCTCTTCTCACTTGAATGAAAACAGAACAAAAGCCTAAATGGGGAGATAGGGGCGGGGGGAGGGGGAGGGAGAAGAGCAAGTCATCAAGACCATTCCTTCTTGTTTTCAAAACCTTCTTGGACTTCCCAAGATCATCTCTGCCAAGAGCTCCGTGGCAAAGGTCTTCACGCTGGGGTGTGCAGGCCCGCTGGGTCTGCGGAAACCGTCTAGGGGGCTCCCGTGTGCTACCAGTTTCAAGAATACTGAAAGAAGAAAATTCAAGAATTTTCTGCCTTTCTAGATCCTCTAGATCTAATGTCCCCGCATTCTTTGGGATCTTCCCTCCCACTTGCCCTTTCTCGGTGGCACAGATTCCAAATGACAGAAGAGAAGCAGGTTCCTTCCCGCCCCGGTAACTATGGTGCCCTGCTCCACGGTGTAAAATCCCCCAGGATCCCAGTTAGAAAAGGGTTCCACTAATAATCATTACAACGGCAACTCAACAGAAGTTATTTTAACTCTTAAAGCCTGTGGTCAAAGGAAATTTTTTAAAAATCTTATATATATCCATCTATTGCAGAGCTGCATGATGATCAATGACAGACTTTTAGGCAAAAAAAAAAAAAAAAAAAGAGGACATTATAATAACATTCTGTGGGGGTGGAGAAGAGGATGATAGAGAATCCCTCACCTTTAAAGAATTTTCATGCATTTTTAAAATGGATAATGGTGGAAATCACTTTGTCACAGCAATCAGATTCTACTGGATACCTTTAAAAATGTGATGACACTGTTCAGTTTCAAAATATTAGCCACTATTTTAACAGATGATGAACTATTTCAGATGTTTCTGTGTTGTATAAGGGCACACAAATTTTCAGATTTCCTTGAGAGGGTCAGTGAGAAAAGTTTGAAGACCACTACTTGTGGAATCCATCAAGTCGGACGGAGAAGGATGGACCGAGGTCCATTCTGCTGCCTGCTTCTCGCTGGTGATCCTACTAAGGTCTTTCTGAGGCAGGCTCACTGAGCTTCCCGCACCCTGGGCTGGAAGGGACCTGTAGCTTGGCCCGTCCTCACCAATTCTGAGGGAACATCACCTCCTACACTTGGTCCCCAAGTGGTCCAGGGCATGAGTCCCAGGGCGGGGGTGCCCGCTTGACCGAGGATGTGGCAGGTCAGCCCCCCACTCAGTCTCTGGCGGCAGGACCGGACAGCGAGTCTGCTCACCTGTACACAGTGTTCTCCCGGTGGAGGTCTTCTAAGCCACAGAGGATCTCTGCCGCATAAAACAAGGCTCGCTCCTCCTCAAAGCCAGGGTTACCCATGTTGTAAATGTGGAACTTCAGGTCACCCCCATTCATGATGGTCAGAACCAAGCACAGCGCATCCTTGGTCTCGTAGGCATAGGCCAGGTTGACCTGGGAGCACAAGACAGCACCATGGTGAGGTTCCAGTGACTGCCACCCACTTCCACTCATCCTCCTCAGGGTCCTTGGAGCTGGGGGAGGTGGCTGGAGTGGGGTCCTCAGCAGCTTCATGCCACTGCCCTGCACCCTGACAGCCTCATGGCGCCCTTGCCCACTGCCCCTCTTGGCTGACAAAGGACACACCTTCTGATATCGTGGTTCCAGGTGAGGAGGCAAAGTGGGGAGGGCAGGCTGGTACTCTGCCCTTTTAGGAAGCCTGACAGGATGGCGCGTGTGTTTACACAAACAAAAAAGCCTGTGTGTGCTTCGTTTGGTGAAGTCTGTGGGTTGCCTTGTTGGCCAGTCAAGAAAAGAAGAGCCCAGATGTCTTCTGGGCGGGGGTCTCATTACCGCAGGGATGCTGGGAGTGGGCTGGGGAGGCGGCCAGTGGGACTCTGTGAAGGGGAACACAGTCTGGCAAAGTCTGCCTCCTCTTGCATGCAGGACACGTCTGGGCCAAGGGACCATTAACAGGGAGGACCTAGTTCCTTGCTGGTGGAGACCAGCTGCCCAAGGATGGACAGGGGCCATAGGGTTGTGGGAGAGGCAGCAGGACTGGGTCTGAGGCAAAGTCCACTGGGTGGTACTCGTCCTTCTCCACTAGGGAGCCAGTCCAAATGAAATCTGGCCACCATGGACCAGGCTGGGCACAGGCTGGGCCATACCCCTTGGATGCAAAGGCCAGGAACAATGGGAGTTATTTCTGAGGAAAGGAAACAGAACGGGAGCTGAGCGGGAGGGCTCTGGGGATGGTGCTCAGTGCCAGGGGCCAGGCTGGCCCTCCCTCCCACACCTGCCCAGAGTCGCCAAGGAGGGGCTCCTGGAGGGCGCTGGGCCAACTCCCTGCCAGGGGCAGTGGATGGGGCACAGTCGAGGGTGGTCCAGGCCCTCGAAGACGTGCCACCCCATTTATCAGGCACACCACCATTCCCCCCCAAGTAGCACCCACCATCACCAAGCCCGACCAGAGCCAGGGTGCCCCTTCCTCTACTGATGAGGGTTCCACGGGCAGCATGGAGGCAGTGACCTGTGGTCCCCACTGCAGGGGGCTGGCAGCTGGGGGCAGCCTGAGAGGAGACCCAGAGGTGCACACTCCTGTCCCCTTTGAGTGTCACCTTATAAAACCACGCCCTCTGGGGAATGACGAAAGCACTAGGCTGATGGCATCTCTGGCGCTCACACACAGTTTGGGGGGCGTTTGACCGGCACCACCTTGATGGGAGAGCCTTTTGGGAACTGCTACCAAATGGAAAATGCACACACCCTCTGACGCCACAATTCCTCCACAAGGAATCCATCCTACGGACACACTCATGGACTTGCGCCAAAGGGATGTGCAAGGGTGGACAGGGCAGTGGCTTAAACACCAGAAATGATCCGTAGTGGTGGGGACCGGTTGCACAGATGATGGGTTAACTCCGTGCTGGACAGCAGGGAGGGGGGTGCACAGCGTAAAAAAAAGAGCTACAGCTGTAGGTCTGGCCACAGGAAAAGACCTACAATTTAAGGGGAAACACTGCAGCTTAAGACGTCTGGTAGGACTCCACTGGCTAAAAATATTAAAGCCTCTGCATGAATCCACCATGTTAGAATGGCTACCCGAAGAGGGAGGCTTTTATTTGTATTTTGTACCTCTCTGTGCTGTAGGAGTTTCACCCTGTACGTGTTTTTTTATAGTGACATGTGGCAGAGGGATTGAGAGCTGACCAAACACCCACACGCTCTTCCACATTTCCCTGCAGCTGGCTCGGCCCTTGCAGTGACTAGTTCTGGCCCACGGACTGTGGGCGGCGTGAGGCATGTCCCTGCGGCTGAGGCAGTGAGGGTCCCTGGGCAAGTCCCCCAGCACACGCTTTTAAGACTCTAGGTGGGGTAGCTGTAAGATGGAGGAGGGTGGCTGGATCTGGCTGGACTCTGTGTATGTGACAATGGTCTTTGTTGTGTCCAGCTACTTCGGGTTGGGGGGTAGCTCGTTACCACAGCAAAGCCTGGCCAAGACGTGGTAACACAATGAACATAAACAAGATGGCACCTCTCCAGGATATCGACACTCAGGTCTCCCCCATGATGAAACCAGCCTGCGGGGGTCTGTGGAAACAAAGCTCCTTGGCTGGGCCCAGGTGGGCTGCTTTTTCCACTGAGGAGTTTACGAGGTGGTTCTAGAGAACAGAGGCCTTGGTCCCACACACAAAGGGGAGCCAGGCCAGTTCGAGTGACCAGAGCAAGTCAGCCACGATTGGCCACGGGGAGCCTTGTGATGGAGGGAAGGCCTGGTCGCCTTTCTGCTGCTTAATCCTCCCACTGCATTCCACTTCCCTGGGGGATGGGAACCTGCCACACTGGAGGACCCCCCCTTCCCAAGGGACAGAAGCCCTGGTCACTAGAAGAGTGGCCTGGCGCTGGGCCCTGGACACTCACCACAAACTGGCTGTTGACCTTCTCTAGGATCTGCTTCTCGTTGAGTGCCATGGACTCCCCTTTCCTCTTTTTGATCCTCTTCTTCTCCAAGCGCTTGCAGGCATACATTTTACCCGTGGCCCGAACCTGGCAGGCGCAGACCTGAGGTGCAAGAGAGAAGCCAAGGGTATGGGACAGGCGAAGGCCTGCCCCAGGCTCCTCCAAGGCCAGTAGGCTGGGTCGGCGGGGCAGAGACCTGATGCATCAGAGCCTGGCCTGAAGGTGCTTCCAGTCACGGGACCCAAGGACGCCTGGCCTTGGACCCACTGCCGCCCCAGGCCCTGCCCTCAAGAGCTGGCTTCCGTGCCCCTTGCTTCCCTCCTTCTATCCTTAGGTGAATCCTAGCTTTTCAAGGTGCACAACCAACCATTTACACTGGTGTTTACATGACCGGCCAAAGCCTCAAGTGCTGTCCCTCTCTGAGAGGCAACTAGAGTTTCTCCGTCCCAAGCTTCCACCAGATGCAACCATTGCTAACTGGGGATTTCACAGCACCAGCTACTGGTAAGGGAGGCTTGTTTTGGTGTCAGACCCCTGATAACTCTGACTTTATAATTCAGCGGAATAGGAGCCAAGGCATTTGGGTTCTCATCTTCTTGGTCCTACCCCTTTTTGGTTGCGTGACCTTGGCTGGGTCATCAACCATTCTGACCCTCAGTTTTCCTCATCTCTAAAATGGGAATAACAAGGCTTGCCTCGCAGACTGGGAAGATTAGCACATATTAATGGCATCATCTGGCCAAGATGCTTGGGCCCCTCATGCCCTCACTCCTCCCCCCAAAGACCGCCAAGAACGCCCATTTCTCCTCTCCAGACACAAACCCTGAGGCGGGCTCCAAGAGCACTTCCATCCCACCGGCCCTGCAGACAGCCTCCTTTCCCACCTCAGTGGCACCTCCTGTTCCCGGGCCCCATGCCTCACCCTCCCTCCCCACCAGGGGGCGCAGGACGCCGTAGGCGCATTCGGAAGGGCCAGAAACAGTGACAGAGTAGGGGAACTTCCCACTGAAGATGCGGATGTTCACTCACCTCCCCAAAGCCCCCTTTTCCTAGTACTCGGTACTGCCTGAAAGTGTTTTTGGTGACCGGTTGCCTGGAAAAAAGCAAGAATCCAACATTGGTCTCAAGGTGTTGAGGTGCAGAAGCCACAAGAAACAGACGACAGGGGCACTGCATGCCCTCCAAACCAGCCGGGAATCGTCACTGCGGATGGGTCCCTCAAGCACTTGCTCTGGGGCTGGGTGTTCAAATCCCAGGCCACCCGCCCTCGGCCCCGTGTGGCTTGGGACCCGAGCAGTCCTCGCTCGCTCGCTCGCTTGCTTGGAGGGAAGAGCAGATGCGTGAAGAAGCTGCTTCACCACACTTTCCGTGTGGTTCCCCTTTTTCTCCCCAGTGAAAATCAGGTGGCTAAGCTCAGAAGGCAGCAGTGTCCTCTGCAGGGCCAGGAGCCACACAGGTTCGGTGTCCCAGGGAAGACACAACAGCCCTCCCCGCACCTGCACATCTGGTCCGCCCGCCCACCTCCTGTCCCCAGGGAGAAAGGCTGCTGGTCGTCCTTTACGGCAGGCCCCCAGCCCTTCCGCCACCGAGGGCCCCCTTATCACAGTTCCCCCGTAGTTCCGCAGCACCAGAAGATCCTGTCTGCCCAAAGCGGTATTTGTGAAGTAATCATTGCTCTGTATCTCCCGACCCCCATTTCAATTAGCTAAGGCCATTTATGTCTAAGCAGACGGACCCTCTGATCATGAGGCAAGGGTGGGACCTCACGGAGTAAATAAACAAACGGTCATCTAAAATTGCCTCGAAGAACTCCAGGGTGCAGACAGCTTGGGCTTTTTCATCACTGGCCTGTTTGGCTAAAAATAATCAGCTGCCTCCAGCCCCAGCTTTTCTGAGGTACAACTGACAAATGGTATCCAACTTGATGCTTTGATACATGCACACATTGTGAAAGGATCACCACAATCAAGCTAAGTTTCTGTCACCTCCCATGGTTACCATTTACCCTCTTCCTCTCTCTCGCTGGTAAGAACACTTAAGATCTACCCTCTTGGCCAGCTTCAAGCATACAATACAGTACCGTGAACTAGAGTCCCACCACTGTACGTCAGCTCTCCAGAGCTTATTCATCCCACAGAACTAACCGAAACCTTGCATCCCTTGACCTACATTCCCCATGACCTCTACCCCCACCCCCAGTCCCTGGCAGCCACCATCCACTCTCTGTTTCTATGACTGGGCCATTATTTTAGATTCCACATCTAGGTGAGATCATGCAGGATCTGTGGCTGGCTTATTTCACTTAGTGTAACGTCCTCCAGGTTCCTCCATGTTATCACAAATGGCAGGATTTCCTTCTTTTTTTAAAGGCTGAATAATATTCCGTTGTATGTATCTACCCCGTCTTCCCTCCCACGCTGACCACCGCATTATTCACAAGGGCTAAGAGATGCAAACAACCTAAGTGTCCTTGGACCATGAATGGATAAAGAACAATCTGCTTTTAGGATGTCCAGCTCAGCTCTTGGACCTCCAGGACTATTCCTGAGCACCCCCAACCCCAGCGCAGAGGCCGGACCAGGGCACACACCGGAGTGGGACTGAGCTGGCTCACATAATTGGGTCAGCTTGAGAAAGACCAGTGAGCCTCTGGTCACCCAGCAGCTCCTGAATGAACCCTCTGTTGCAACCTTGCTTGCTGCTGGGTCCCGAAGGTCCTCGGCACCAACACCTCTCACAGGACAGCCCTGAACCCCCCGCCCCCCACCGGCACGCCTGTCTGGAGTCCACGTGCCCTGACTCGCTCTCTCTTCTGTTTCTTTGTGGGGGAGGGGGGGCGCGGCACACTGATTATCTCCCCACTGGGAGCACAGGGCCGCCCCTCCGCAGACTCTCCATGGCTCTGTGTCCCCCTGTACACGAGCAGTTGGACTGCAGCGAGGCCTGCCATGTGGCTGCATCCGCCATGCGGCCCTGGGAAGCGTTTCTACAGCTGCCCTCGAAACCACATGAAGGCGCCTGGGCCTAACAGTTTACGATACATGGAGAACAAACAGTTGGTCGGCATTACCACAGAGCTCCTTTGCTAGGGGAAATGAGTGTAATACAGTCTCCGAGGAATTTCTCGGTTAACCTTGGGAGGGAGAAAATCTCTTTAATATTTCAACAGTACAGCATGAACAGGCCATGATTTTGTTAGCAAAAAAAAAAAGAAAAGAAAAAGGAAAGGGAGGAAGCAGGGTGCTGTCAGTCATTTAGGGGCATTTCTAGGCCAGGGTCCTGCCCTAGTGCCTTCAACAACTTAATGCCCACGAAAGGGCCTAACTTCTTCGCAGTCAACGCAGATTTTAAGTCTGTTTCTCCATTTCAAGTGTTCAGTGCAGACAAGTAAAATCAAAGCCAGTGGCCACAGCTAAAGGATTCTATTGGACAGAGTGCTGGGTGGAATAAGGGTGAAGGACTTGATCGCAGGGCCTTGGGTTCAGGTTCCAGCCTTGCCAGGCCCTTGCTGCGTGACCCAGGGCCAATCGATCAACCTCTCTGAGCCTTGCATCTTCAGTAAAACAACATTGAAAAGGCATCTGCATCCCAAGGCTCTTTGTAAGCTGCTGTGTGTCAGATGTCATTATTAGAACTCTAGGAATAGGGGCACCTGGGGTGGCTCAGTCGGTTAAGCGTCTGCCTTCGGCTCAGGTCACAGTCCCAGGGTCCTGAGATCGAGCCCTGCATCAGGCTCCCTGCTCAGTGGGGAGCCTGCTTCTCCCTCTCCCTCTGCCGTTCCCCCTGCCGCTCCCCCTGCTTGTACATGCTTGCATGCTCTCTCTGTCAAAAAAATAAAATCTTAAAAAAAAAAAAAGAACTCTAGGAACAAAGGACACATCGCCTCTGGGGTCTTTATGGTTACAGTCCCCACTGAGTGAAGCACCTTGCACATGCACTAATGTAATCCTCACTCCTGCCTTAGGAGGTGGCACAGTCCCCATTGTGCAGGTGAGAATGTTTAGGCCCTGAGAAGGGAAACGAGCTGCCAAGGTCATGACGGTAAGCGGCGGCTTTGGGGCTGGATCCCCAGGCACCTGCTGCAGAGCCCACAGCCAGGGTCTCAACCCCACACTGCCACCCCGTGAAGGTGGGCAGAGATCAGGCTGTGTGGCACACAGCCCGGGGCTCTGGGGGTGACGAATACGTCCCCACCACACTGCCCTGCGATCATCAGAAACACAAGGGCCAGCGGTTCCCTCCCACACCAGGCGCTTGAGGGTGATAGCACAACTGAATCCAGCGCCTGACTTCCCGGGGCCAAATGGCTGACCTTTCCTGAGCTCTTGCCTAATAGGCACGTACTACGCTTACCTCAGCTCGTCGGCACCCGAGCCCACAAAGGCAGGCACTATTAGCATCCCCATCTCACAGATAAGAAAACTGAGGTGGGGAGGGGTGAGCAGCCCTTGCCGAGGTCCTTGGGGAGAAGGTAGAGCCGGGACTCAGACCCAGGCTGTGGCCTCCAGGGCCCTCAGCCGGATGTCCGCGCTGACCCCCACTTCCCCGGGTCTCCCAGAGCCACGATGTGCACGTGTGAGGGGCCCACAGAGGAGACTGCCCCCTGCTTGACTGCCATTCCCCCCGGTGGTACAGAGCTGGGTGTTTCCGTCCGGGCTTCCTGAAGTGGGCAGGGCAGGGTCGTGGATGGGGCTTTTCGGGCATCCCTAAGTGTCTGCAGGGCACTCACCAGCGAAGGTGGGGACAGGCAGAAGCAAGATGGCTCCTGGCTCTCTGCCCAGAGGGTGCCCCAGATCCCCGTGAGCGCCAGGCCTCAGGCGCAGGGACCCCTGGGCTGCGGAAGGGGGTGCTCCCTGCCCTTGTCTACCAGCAGAGCATGGATTTAGCGCAGGCATTCCCTCATTCTGCCAATTCTGGGACAGTGTGGTGGGCAGAGCCCTGTGCTGGGGGTCCTGGGCCAGGGCCCCCCCTCGGCGCACTGCTGGCCTGCTGTGTGACCGGGCCACACCCTCTCGGGGGCTCTCCTTCCTCATCAGTCACACGGAGGCCGTAGCTGCCAGGCCAAATCACCGCCATGTTTGTGAGAACACTTTGCAGAGAGAAGGCAGGAAACAAAACATGAAAAGATGCTCGGTTTTACCCATTATTAGAGATGACAAGATACACAAGAAGGAAACCCTGCTGCTCACACACCAGCCAGGAAAGCACGAGAACAGTGTTGATGAGGTGGAGGGGAGGCAGGCACTGGGGCACCGGAGGGCCTGGAATTGGGGGGCAGCTGTGTGGGAGGGCAACTTAGCGGTCCCTCACGGTTTCACATCGGGGCTTTGTGACCCAGAAATCCCTCTGCCGGGATCTCTATGGATGTACTTGCAAAAGTACGTGAAGATATATGTACAAAGCTACTCGTTATTTAGGGAAGATTGTACACAAAATTGAGGGCAACCTCCACGTCCATCGACAGGGGACTGAGCTAAATCAGGGATGTGCCACTCATTCAGCTCTTTATTTGCTGGCAGAGGGAGGATTCCCAAAAACAGTGAACCAAAAAAGCAAGAATAAGTATGTATGTATTTATGAGTGTGTGGGTGTGCGTGCACACTTTAATAAGCACAGAGCATTTCTAGAAGAATAGCCAAGAACTTAACAAGAGAATGGCTAATTTTATCTGAACCATGGACCCATGGAGGTAACTGATTTTTATGAGTTCCCAGGTGGAAAACCTGTCCCCCCGCCCCTACCACGCGCGCACACTGGCTCACACTTGTAGGTGGGCTGTGCGGGGTGCACTCACCTTTCCAACCACTTCCACTGGAGAAAGCGATCAAAATACATACTGTCCAGATACTCATGGAAGGGCTCTCCCTTCAGGTAGTCGTGGACAGACCTGGCTCAGAGGGAACAAACAAACGTTTTATAATCCCGGCCTGAAGCAGCCGGGCAGAGCCGTATACACATCCAGCAGGTAACAAGTGGCCTCAGAGGCCCATCGTTCTACCACAGTGACTGCCTGGTCGTGCGGACACTTACTGGGTCCCCGCCACAGCACGGCTCTAGGCCCGGGGCAGAGCTGTGAGCTTGAGGTTGCTGTTGCGACATGGGACAACCACCAAACAGATGCTTGCAGAAGCAGGTTATCATGAGGGAGGGTTAAGCGAGGTCCCTGGGAGGGGGGGCTCAGGTAGCTCTCTGTCTCTCAAGAAGGGACTCTTGAGCTGCAGTGAGGACAGAAGAATAACTGGGTGCAGGGGTGTGTGTGCAGGGGTGGGCAGAGCAGGGATGCAGCGCCCGAGGGCCCAGGCTCTGGATTTGGTCCAGGACCAGTGAAGCCACTGGGAGGTTTCTATCCCCGCAGCAGAATTCACTGGTCACCTGCTGAGGGCCAGGCCCGCAGGGTTCTGAAGCTGGCTGTAGGCAGGGATGGGCTTCGTTCCTTTAAAACATGGTGATGCTGCCCAATCTAGCCCAGGCACTTGGGACCTGTGGGTGCGGGACGGGGTTGGGGGGAGCAGCATGTACAGTGGAGACCTTGTTGGATGCTGTCTCCTGCCAAACAGGACAGCAGGGGCCGGGGTCACAGTGACAGCCCAGGGGCCTTACCCGCTGTCATATCTGACCCTCAGCCAGCTCCAAGAGCACAGCAACCGGGTCTGTTTCTCCTCGTGGCGGGGAGGGGGGTCTCTCTCCTCGGCCGGCCCTCCCTAAATGTCCATTCTCAACATGGGGCTCCCGGCTCGTCCCACAGTGCACAGGGTCACTGGTTTTCATGTCCTCCCCGCCTGGCTGTTAAGCTCCACGAAAGCCGGGACTGGGTTCTTGCTCACCATGGCACCCTCAGCACCTATCACTGTGCCAGACATGCAGCAGGTACCCCGCTGTCTGTGGGGCAGAGGCTGAACGAGCGCGCACAGCAAGCCGTGGGGGGCGATCAGGCTCCGGAAGGTTTTTGGTGTGCAGCGTATGGCGTAGGGTACCTGTGTGGACACAGGCACGTGTGCGCGCCTTCCCGGGATGTGTGCGAGGGACAGGTGGGGGCTTCACTGGTGTCGGGCCAGCAGCACACCCACCGACTTGTCTCCTATCCATTAGGATGGCCCTAGGGCCCACAGACGAGGTGATGGGGTGTGGCTGAGAAGGCAGCCTCCGGCCCCCCCACCCCCGCCCCGCGGCAGTGCTACTCGGCTCTGGCTGCTGGCAGCTGTGGGGGTTGGGGGCCTGGGAAGGACTCCCAAACCGCCCAGACGGGGTCAAGTTTTTGCACATTCCTCTGTCTCAACAGCCTAGAGAGCCACTTGCTTTCAACACCCTTGGAGGCAGATGTTTTCTTTGGACTTGGCACTTGGGTATCTTTTCCCTTCCTAAGAAGTATACAAACAGCTGGGTGGCTTGGCTGGGGCCCCCGGGGCATGGCAGACCTGCCCTGGTGCCCGGCGCTCCAGGTGGAGGGTAGGCGCAGCCTCTCTCCGGGGCCCCGTGTGGCTGACAGGAGGCTGAAGGGCCTGAGGCCCGGCCTGGGGAGCGAGGGAGCACTTACTGTGCACAGGCAGAAAAGAGTTCCTTGCAGGGCCTCTGTAAGAGCTTCTCCTCCGTCTGGGAGACCAGGTCCTGGCCAACTTGGGCAATGAAAACTGGGGACTGGAGGAAGAGAAAAGGACGTGTCAGTGAGGGGTGGGAGCGGGGCGCCACCTCTTCCGCCCACTCCAGGCCCTGAGCACATGCCGCGTTCAGGGGTGCGTGGAGGTGGCTGTGGGCTGGGAGGCGGTGAACGAGCCCAGTGGGGGTTGGGGGCCTGGGAAGGACTCCCAAACCTCCCAAACCTGGTAGGGCCAGGTTTCTGGCTCTGCCACTTTCAGTCTGTGGGACCTCATGGAGGTCACTTGGTTCCTGTGAGCCTTGCTGGCCTCATCTGCAGCACGCTGAGAATGATGTCCCTGCGTCTTGGGCTTGGGGTCAGACCTGAACGAGATGTGTGTCCAGAGCTGTGCAACATGGATGGATTGGTCGGCCAGCCCCCTGGGAGCTTGCAGGTGACCCTTCCCAGGCTGGGCCTGTCTGCTCAGAGGGCAAGGTGAACACCTGCCCAGCCTCGAGGTCCTGCGTGAGGAGGTCTGGAATGGGCAGAAGGGCCAGCAAAAGCACAGCTCAGCAGCAGAAGAGGGGTGCTCCGTGGGCACAGCTTCGCCTGACTGACAGGAGCAAGGCCCAGACCTGCTACTTGCAGCTGTGGGACCTTGGTCGGGACTCAGTCCCCCGTTATCAGGAAGATGCTCAGGAATAACAGTTTCTCCCAGAGAGAATCAACGAATCCTTTGGGTCAGGCAAGTGGCCCAGACCGTGGTACCTGCTAGGGAGCGTGCAGTAAACATCGTTACTGTCATTCCCTTCTTTTACGGGAAGCTGCAGCCTGAGTGTTTCAAGCATGAAAGGACAGTTCTGAGAATTTCTGTGTCCTGCCCACGAGCAGAAGCCACGGCCGGGAGGACTCTGGGACCACCAGAAGCCTGCCCCCTTCCTCTGACTGTTCACCCTCCACCACCAGCTGGGCTGATGAGGTGGGTTTTTAACAAATTACAGGGATATTTGAGAAAATTGCCAGGAATGGGCCCAGAAAGATGGAATGTAGATTTATCTTTCTCCCCCAAAGATGCTGAAATCTGAAAGGCTTGCTTTCTCCTTTCAGCTACTGAAATGTGACTATGGAGCTGATTTCCCTGAGAGGCCAACTGGGTGTCTTCTGCGGTGGGGCGGTCCAACTCCGGGGGTGGCAGGGGCACCCACAGCAGCAGGACCCGGATGAAAGAAATTGGTGGCTCATCTTCTATTCATCGTGGTTCTGAAGGCCCACATTCCTGAGTCCCTTCCTTCTTTCTTCTCTCCTAGGCTCTGCCCCCTCCAGATCAGGGCCCCTTGGTGGGGGGAGCCTCAGGTGTTGGGGGGCAGCCACGGTGAAGGTAAATGCTGCTGGCTCACCCAATGATGCCACACAGCAGGCTTGTTGGCCATCACCAACCCTGGGTGGTGGTGGCTCCCTCCCCCTGACCCCGTTCCTCCCCCCCACACTAAAAACCTTGATGCAGAAAAGATGCTCGATGTTGCAGAAGGAGCCCCACACCAAGAAACTGGAGCCCCGAGCACCGGCCCACCCTCTGGGGCCATTGTGTGCTTCCATCCCCTCTGTCACAGGCAGGAGCTGCTGCAGAGATGGTTGACAGTTGTGGGGGGAGGTCGCTTCTAAGACTTGGGGGACTTTCTTGGGAATTCTGGCAGCTGAAATCTCTTGGGGATCAGTAACTCTGGGCTACTTCAGAGCAATCGAATCCTAAAACAAACACGGAGGCCATGGGCAAATTTGCGCCACAAGAGCTGATGGCCAGACGACCTTGGTTTGAAGGGCCCAGTGCTCAGCACAGAGCTGGTGTCCACGGTACGTATGCGAAGGAGTGACATGAAACAAGGTGCGTGCCAGGGAGGAATCTGGGAGGAGTCAGCAAAGACCAAACAGACATGCTGGGTGGGGCAGTCATGGGGAGAAACCCCCACTTCTTGGACCTCAGAAGAGGCACCTGGGTTACCCACCTGTATGCACTCAGCTGCACCCCTGTTTTGCCATCAGACACCACCCCGGGAGGACCCACCCTTACCCGGAGTGGACCGAACCTGGCGTTGGGCATGGTGTGGGGGTGTTAAAAGGTGAAGCCAGTGTGGCCCTGACTGCAAAGCACATTTTCTCCAACAAGACAGGAAAGACAGAAATCAGGTAATATCCTAGCAGGAAGTTCTCTCGCCTCTCTAGGCTACATGGGGTCGTGTGTAAAAGGGGCCCACTGAAACTCAGTGGCTCTCACACTTTTTTTTTTTCCAGCAAACTTCTTCCTCCTCCAAATGAACTTTATCTACAGACCCACTATTTAAAACCAATGGGTAGCTCTGGTTTGCCCCTGCTGAAGGCCAACTGTGGTCGGGCACTGTGAGAAAGACCTTACATTCATTATTTCATCTAACCTTCGTCATGGCTCCGAGAGGTAAATACTACTATAATGCTCATTTCACAGACAAGGAAATGGAGGTCCAAAAAGGTTCAGTCATTTGACACCAGGTCACCCAGCCAATAAGTGGCAGACAGGGGTTGTGAACACAAGTTGGGTGGGTGGGTCTGGAGTGAGTCTGGTTGAAGGTGGCGGGTGTCTGGGCCACCTGTGCCACTCCCGCCCACCCCCCATCTCCCAGGAGCCCCTCAGCCCTCAGGGTGGGCAGGAGGAACTCAAATGGAAGATGGCACAGCTCAGGGCAACGAGCCCCTGGGCTCAGAGAGGGAGATCGTTACGGGGTGGGGTCATCTGGGAAAGGCTTCAGGGAGGAGAGGGTCAGAGGCCAAGCAGAATCTGGGCTTAGACCTCCACGCCCCATGGGTCTTCCCATGGAGGACCATACTCTGCTTCCTCCTCAGCCGATGGGAGGAGTGGCCCAGGGTCTAGGGGCGACCCAGCTGTGCGCATGGAGTCCCACTGCTCTCATTCTCTGGCGTGGGTTGGCGGGAGGGCTCTGGGGATGCTGCCCATGCTCAAAGCCCTAAGAGGAGTTAATGAGTGGGTAGCAGTGCGTTCGGTTTGATGACCATGGGTTTAAACTCAGTCTCTGGCTCAACATGAAGAGATTACGCAATTCCAACCAAACCCCCTTTCAAGTGACTCCAGAGAGTAACGCCTCTGCCAGTAAGGGAGTAAGAGGCTGTTGGCCAGTTTAAGTTGGGAACTGAAACCCAAACTTGCCAGGAGGGTGAGAGGAGAAGCAACCAGGGGACATTTCCATGGGACACTTGCAATGCGCATCGACAGAATTGGAAGTTATCGGTCCTTCCCCTCCAGTTCAGAGAAGTCCGCTTCCAAGGGAGACCCATGAAGAAGGCTCACCCTAGGCTGAGTGCAAGGTCTAACACATCACGTAAGACAAAGTGCCACCAGACGCTCCGAGCGCTCTGGGGGGGGTCCCAGCAACCACAGCCCGCTGCACACCATCCCCTGTGGCTTGAAGGCAGAATTCCACAGTTTCAGATCTCATTCCAGGAAGCTAATCCCTTCTGGTCCCAGGAGGCCTGTGAGGTGGGCTAGGGAAGGGAGGGGGTGTATCCTTGGGGCCAGGTGGGCTCAGCAATGCCAGGAGAATTGTGGTTAGCACTGTGGCTCTTTCTAGCAGGAACTGTCCCTCTGGGGGGAAGCTGAGGGTCAGAGTGGGGAGAAGGCTGGGGACCATCCTCCTCCATGTTAAAGATGTCCCCCTAATTTCTAATCAAACAGAGAAAGCCCTAAGGCCCTTAGACGTTGGCAGGGCTGAAAGCGGCCAGGAGAACAGGTCTTGCTGGAGGTCTCTGTTACAGGTTCCCCTGGGGTCTGGGACCCTCTCAGACCAGCAATATTTTGAAGTGACACTTTATCTCTTTGGTCACCAGATGGTCTCAAGTAGCTCCGGCTAGCAGGCCTTGACTTTTAATACCACAGTGTGAATTTAGGCACCAAGTTTCTTCCGCAATGTGTGGAATTAGCTCTTGGTGGGGCAGCTTCCGAGGACAGGAGGAAGAAATTGAGGACAGAGTTTCTCTGCTGGAGGCCCCACCATGAATGGCTTCCTGCTGCTCTTGGGCACGGAAGCTCACCAGCTGGCCAGCCTCCATGTGATCATATGCCCAGCCTGGCCTGACAGTCCACTCTGATGACAGGATGACCCCCAGCTGCTCATAAGTTTTCCTCCGTGGCCAACTCCTGGGATAGCTTAAGACAGCATGACGTGCCTTGGGGACATGGCTGTGCTTGCTGGGGGCCGCTCTCTCCCCTCCAGCCAGACTGACAGAAAAGAACTCTGCTTCCTTGAGGAGCTCTAGGTGGCAGGGAGCACCTGTCTTGCCCCTGAAATCTCAACTGGAGCAAGAGAATCTGCACCGTGCTCCCCTCTTTGGCTAAGGCTCCTCTCCACCGTTTCCCCCCAAAGTTGCTGGGGAACAGAGGGGGCATTAAAGCTTGGGTGTGCTTTATCCACTCTCAGTCTGTGCCTCTGGATAAAAGCCCCCTTCGCCCATGGGGGAAAGAACCTGCTTTACATCCCCCTTTAGAATGAGCAATTGACCTTAAATCCATCTCCTGTACCAGAGGAACTTGGGCCCTCACCTGGTAGGACAGACTCCCCCCATGCGTGTCAGGCTCTAAGTCCCCCTTGGAATCCCTCAGAATATCTGCTCTTTTTTACCTCCTCCCCTGGTGGCCCAGACTCACTCTCCGCTGTTCCCGATGCTTACGGCACGGGTTCTGGGGATACAGGCAGCCCCCGCTGCCCATGTGAACCAGAATGCACCTTTTGAGGCAGCAAGATGTGGGGATGCATGGGTGTCTTTCTGGGTACCACAGCACAGTGAGAAGAGCCCCCCCCCCGCCATGCCACCTGGCATGCAGGGAGGGAAGACCCCTGAGCTGGATGCAGGGGGCCAGTGGGCTTTGCACCTTCACTCTCCTGTAGGCCCCTCTCCTCCCTTTTGTCCCCCCCCCCTCCCGTGAAGCTCTCTGGGGCCTCACGCTGCCTCCACTGCCTGCCTGTGACCCTAAATTCTGACACGTGGCCTAAGCCAGACCTCTCTTACCCTCCGCTCCATCAAAACAGTAACCTCGGCAATGCGCAGGCACAGTATGGATGACCAGCGATGAATCAGTGCCCTGGAGGCCTCAGGATTTCTAAAGAGAAGGTAGTTCGTAAAGCAGAGGATGGGGAGTGTGGCGGGAGGTGGCGGTGGGAGATCCGACTGGATGGAAGAGCCGAGCAGCAAGGACCGCGCCTGAAGCTGCATTTATAATCCCCAGCATTGGCAGCGCATCCGGAGCGCCCACGCGCTTGGTCCGGGGGGGCGTCCCGGCTAACTCCGTACCTACAGGGAGCCCCGAGCTGCCTCAGGGCCACTGGGCGCGCACGTGCTCAAGGCTCCACCCCTCCCAGGTCAGAACTGCCGCTTCCCAAGGGCCTTCCGTGCGAACCCGAAGCGGGACAACCCCGGGTATTTCGGGGACTCAGGCCCGCTCGAGAGGGAGGGTTGGCGGTGAGGAGGCAAGGGCCCGGGCCTGGGCAGGAAGCCACCCCACGGTGCTTTACTTGGTACTCAACCCGGGAAGCAGGTGCTGATCACCTGCCGCACCCAAGGCTCTGCTTCTTAGGGTGCTCCGACGCCCACCCTCACTGACTTCACGGCGAGAGACGTGACGCCCCAGGGCAGGCGACGGCCCACGGCCAGCTCTGCCTCCGCAGGCCGGATCATCCAGCCTCGGCCCGCCCAGCGGTCTGCCCACAAGGTGGCGCCCGTGAGCCCCTCCCGGCGCGCTTCGCTGCACACTCTCCCGGGTGGCCCAGCCTCCCGGCCTCGGAGTAGGGAGGCCAGATGGCACACCTGAAATAATTACCGAGTGATTCGTCTCAGACCTGAGGAGCGCGGCCTCTGCAATAACAGTTGAGGGGGAAAATGAGAAATCGGCCTGGGAGGGAGCCCCCGGGAGGGAAGACGAGCGCAGGACCGTGCTGGAGAGGTGGGATTTACAAGGGTGGAGGAGGCCAGCATGGCAGGGGCAAAGGCCAGGAGGCTGGAGAAAGCAGGGAGGGGGTGCGCAAAGAGAGGAGGACTCATCTAGAAGATATTAAATAAGCAACTGACACGGGGTGCCGCCATCTCTGTGAGGCTGGTTCTCATGGACCGCTGCATCTGCTCCCCTTGGGCACTGCTGTCTCCCGCTGCACTGGGACGACTAGCAATAGAAAGGGACGTCACTTCCTGCATGAGTGAGGGACGCCACATGTCTGAGAACCTTGCTCCTGAAGCATCTGCTGGCTTCAAAGTCTCTGGTTTAAAGATGTCAGACGGGAGAAGGAATCAGCTGTACGTGGCTGGTGTCTCTGGAGACACACAGGGATGGAGGCATGGTTGGGCTGTCAAAGGCTCTTCAGAACCACCTCCCACACCTCCTTAGTAGTCATCAGCAATCCTGAAGTAAGTGCCCTTGGGGTCACCCTCAGAACCTTCTGGAAACACGGAGCCTACACTTGTTCACAGATACAGGACCTGAGGTGGAACAGGAGGAAGAGAGCACAGAGGGCTCCCCTGGAAAGATCCGTCAGGGCCCAGTTGGCTCAAGTCACTCATGGCACAGATGGGTTAACTGAGACAAAGGACTGAGAAGGGAAGGGACCCCTCCAAGGTCACACTGTGGCCCATGGTACAGCCAGGATTAACACCTGGAAGGGCTCCATGGCAGGGCTGAGCTGCACCAGCCGGGAACCTGGTGTGCTGGGCCAGCTCTAGGGGAGGGACATAGCTTTGGTCTCATTGGCCCCACTCAAATCCAGCCTGTCCCCACCTCACAGACAGCAACCCTAACCCTGGTATGTCTCCCACCCACCCCTCCTCTCCGTCCCCACCTCACGGCCCTGCATTCAAGAATTCTCTTCTCTTACCTGCTACCACTTGCTCTTGCCGCCAGGGGAGTTTTTCCAAACCACACAGCACAGATGGTCTCCACTCCAAAAGACAAAGCCCACTGCCTTCTTGGCCCTGGCCCCAAATGCCCTTCTCGATCTGCTTCTCGCCCCTGCCTTCTGCTCATGGATGTTCACCCCATACTCGTCTCTTCCTGGGAAGCTCTAGCTCTCTAGCTGCTGGACCTTTGCGTGTTCCCTTGGAAGAAGCCCTTCCTGCCCCATCAGGGCATGTCCAAATTCCACCCAGTCTTCAGGACCCACTTCCAATAGAACCTCATCCAAGCTGATTTTCTGAGCAGACAAGACCTTCCACCCAATCCCAAAGTGTCACCATCACCATCACTGCCATTTCTTGAGCACCTACTATATGTTAAGTGCTAGAAGCTTTACATGGGGTTATCTTTTTTAACCCTCTCAAGGTAGGTTTTATTTTT